TAGCAACTCGAGGAGGTGTCACGGCGTCTGATTCTATTTTTGGGGAAAAAAAAGCACGTGGGGTTTATTTTGATGACGTCATAAAAGTTACGGATACGTGAAAACGGTCGATCATTTTGGTCTCTCCAGTTTTCATAAAAAGGATAGAAAATAATGATTTTTAGGGTCGATCATTTTGGTCTCTTCAATTTTCAAAAAAAAAAAAAAAAAAAAAAAAGAAAATGATTTTAATGGTTATATATTTTCATCGAACGATCATGAAAACAGACCTCCTCGAGTTGCTCCTGATCAAAAAAAAAAAAAAAAAAAGATAGAAAATGATGATTTTCATGGTTATATTTTCATCGAACGATCATGAAACAGACCTCCTCGAGTTGCTCCTGATCAAAAAAAAAAAAAAAAAGATAGAAAATGATGATTTTCATGGTTATATTTTCATCGAACGATCATGAAAAGACCTCCTCGAGTTGCTCCTGATCAAAAAAAAAAAAAAAAAAAAGATAGAAAATGATGATTTTCATGGTTATATATTTTCATCGAACGATCATGAAAACAGACCTCCTCGAGTTGCTCCTGATAAAAAAAAAGGATAGAAAATAATGATTTTAATGGTTAGATTTCCATCGAACGATCATGAAAACAGACGCCATGACACCACATCCTCGAGCTGCTACTGATCTAGCCTTTCCCTGGACGATATACCCAATGAGGCTCTTTTACGTAAATCACATAGAGGTGGAGCATAGAGGTGGAAGATACAAAACAAAAACAAAACGTAAATGACGAGATTTGAAGGATATTTGGCTGGATTTTATTTCCTGGAATAGAAGGGCGTGGATTTCAAGGAATATAAGATGCGGATTTTTGATTTAATTTATTTTATTTTTTTTATGTTTTGGATTTTTATTTTATTTGATTATTTTTTTTTCTATAAGTGTTGGATTTTCTGGAATATAAGGATGCGGATTTTTATTTTATTTTATTTATTTATTTATTTAATTTTTTTTTTAGATTTTGGATTTCAATTTTATTTTATTTTATTTTTTTATTTTATGTTTTGGATTTCAAGGAATATAAGGATGTGGATTTTTATTTTATTTTATTTTATTTTTTTTATAAGTTTTGGATTTCAAGGAATATAAGGATGCGGATTTTTATTTTATTTTATTTATTTTTTAATATACGTTTTGGATTTCAAGGAATATAAGGATGCGGATTTTTATTTTATTTTATTATTATTATTATTATTATTATTATTATAAGTTTTGGATTTCAAGGAATATAAGGATGTGGATTTTTATTTTTATTTTATTTCATTTATATATTTTTTTTCTATAACTCGTGATAATGTAGAGGTCGTTACATGTAGTGGGTATCGGTGTCGGCGACTGAGCATTTGTAAATGGTTATTATAACTTTATAATGCGGAGTAATGGTGATATTACCGAATTTGTTTTTTTTTAGCAAAGGGAATTTTTTTCCTGGTTTGTCTGTAACAGTGTCTCGAATAGTAAATGGAATGATGTGGTGCATGAGATATTTTAATCTGCATAACTAAAGTAGGAGTAAAACGGTAAGTCAGCAGTCTGTGGGCGTATGTTCAACCCTAACTCTACACACACACAGACACACGCACGCACATACACACATGGACGCACACACGCAAACACGGACGGACGCACGCACATGCAACACACACATGCACACACACACACCACACACGGACGCACGCACGCACGCATTCACACACACACACACACACACACACACACAACACACACACACACACACACACACACACACACACACACACACACACACGGGACGTACGCGCACGGACGTACGCGCACACGCACACACACAAACACGGACGCACACACGCACAAACACATATAGAAATATGTATGTGTATATATAAATAGATGAATATATATATATATAATATATATTATATATATATATATATATATATATATATATATTTATATATGTATATTCATTTCCTTTTATTTTCTTTACCAGTAAGGTTATAGCAGCATATTCTGTAGTATATTTATTGTGACAACATTTCCAGAATTTCATAGACGTTCTACCAGCTTTCATGCTTTCAGGTCACGAATCTTAATCCAGACTTATTAATCCTAATCCTAATCCTAATATAATAGTAATAATAATAATAATAATAATAAATAATAATAATAATAATAATCTTAATCCTACTCATCTCTCTCAGTCTGAGGCTTTTAAAAGAAATGATTGCTATGGGGAAGGCGAGTATTTTAGGAAAAGTGACGTGCCCGCCGCCCCTCCCCCGACTAGGATGGGTTTTCTTGGGCACGAACAAAATTCTTGGCGTGGCAGACTTCACGACTTGGGTGACGTCATCATCCTCTCGGAACAAGACAGACAGACAGACAGACAGACAGACAGACAGGCATAAACTAATTTCGTTTTCCTCTAATTCCTTGATTATCTTTGTCAACCAGTTCTTTAACAAATAATGGATAGATAAATAGATAAAAAGGTAAATAGAGTGAAATAAGATAATGATGTTAGAGTAATTATGTAGTGATATTAAAGATTAGTATATAATCAGGGGATTCGCTAGATTATTGAGCTGGGAAAAAGATAGATAAATAGATAAAAGATGCTTCAAATAAACAGATATTCGCTCTGAGTAATTACTTCACAAAAAGAAAAGAAAAGATAAAGAGAAAAAGAAAAGAGAAAGACAAAAAACGAAAAAAGAAAAGAAAAACAAAGAAAACAGAAAAATAAAGAAAAAAGAAAAAAAAAACAAAGAAAAAGAAAAAAAGAAAGAAAAACAAAGAAAAATGAAAAGAAAAGAAAAGAAAGAAAAACTGAAAAAGGAAAAGAGAAAGAAAAAGAAGATATAAAAGCACTTGTGACTGAGTACCGAAATGACGTTGCACTTCAGAACACCAAGACCACGCAAGTAGATTTATTCAATTCAGATTCTCCTCTTAAATGCCAGTGTTGTTAATCCTTCATCTGCATCCTAGCCAGTGTTGTTAATCCTTCATCTGCATCCTAGCGTTTTTTCCGGTCTCTTCTGCCTTGCTTTAATTACAATGCGAACAGCAAGGTCGTGTCTTTATTTGTGGTTGCGGGTGCGGTTGCCACGGCACTCACTCACTTATTCACTTGTTCACTCACTCACTCACTCACACTAATTCTCTCTCTCTCTGTCTCTCTGTTTGGCTGTCTCTCTCTCTCTCTCTTCTCTCTCTCTCTCTCTCTCTCTCTCTCTCTCTCTCTCTCTCTCTCTCTCTCTCTCTCTCTCTCTCTCTCTCACACACACACCTACAGTCACTCACACACACACATACCTACTGTCACACACACACACACCTACAGTCACACAAACACACACACACATACCTACAGTCACACACATACTCCTACAGTCACACAAACACACACACACCTACAGTCACTCACACACACGCCTACAATCACACAAACACACACACACACATACCTACAGTCACAATAACACACACACACAAACCTACAGTCACACAACACACACAACACAGTCACACACACACACACACACCACACACACACACACACACACACACACACACACACACACACACACACACACACACACGTAGGTGCTTCCAGAAAGGTCTGAAGACGAATTATTAATGTCAACCTTGCAAAATATAACCACAATTCTTCTTTCTTTTCCAACTCTAAGATTTATTTCATTTTTTCCCCAATTCTTTTCTAATTCAAAAACTTCATCTTAGTGATTCCTTTATAGAGATGGAGGGGGAGGGGCGTTAGAGGGAAAGGGGAGGGGCGTTGGATGAAGTGGAGGGGGGGTGATGGAGAGGGAGGGGCGTTGGTGAAAGGGAGGCGTTAAAAGGAAAGGGGAGGGGCGTTAAAGGAAAGGGGAGGGGCGTTTGAAAGGGGACGCGTTAGAGGGAAAGGGGAGGAGCGTTGGATGAAGGTGGGAGGGGGCGTTTTGATGAAGGGGGAGGGGCGTTAGGGGGAAAGGGGAGGGCGTTGATGAAAAGGGGGAGGGGCGTTTGATGAAGTGGGAGGGGCGTTAGACGAAAACGGGGGAAGGGACATTAGATAAAAAGGGAAAAGGAGGGGAAATAGACGAAGAAGGGAAAGGGAAGGGCATTAAACGAGGGAGGGAAAGGGCGGGGCAAGAGACGAAAGAGTTGAGAGGCGATAAATGAAGAAAGGAAGGGGGAGGGGCGCTGGACGAAAGAGGGGGAAGGGAGGGGCGTTTGGCGAAGGGGAAGAGAGGGGGGGATTCAGAGGAAGGGACTGGTAGAAAGAAATGGCCGAAGGGTATAAGGAAGGGTAGGTGAATGGAACTGCAAAAAAAAATAAAATTGGATAATCGTGTACGCCAAAGGACAGAAGAGCGAAGGGCAAGGATCAAGGTACTGGTTAAAGAAAAGAATACAGGGAGAGAGAGAGAGAGAGAGAGAGAGAGGAGAGAGAGAGAGAGAGAGAGAGAGAGAGAGAGAGAGAGAGAGAGAGAGAGAGAGAGAGAGGAGAGAGAGAGAGAGAGAGAGAGAGAGAGGGGGGAGAGAGAGGGGGGGAGGGAGAGAGGGAGGGCAGGAAAAGAGAGAGAGAGGGAGAGGAGAGGAGAGAGAGGGAGAGAGGGAGAGAGGGAGAGAGAGAGAGAGAGACAGGCAGAGACAGTTACACACACACACACACACACACACACACACAGAGAGACAAACAGACAGATAGATAGACAGACACAGAGAGAAATAGATCGAGAGACACACACGCACACACAAACAGACACACACAAACACAGAAAACCAAAACCACAAAGAGAAACTTATAAAAAAGAAAAAAAAAAAAGAAAAGAAAAAAAAGAAAAAAAGAAAAGATAAGGGCGGGGAGACACTAGTGCTAAGAAAAGGTTTATGACCCACCCTTCCCTAGGACATACGAGGTGGGTGAGGCTTCTCAGCTCAGGTATTTAAGCAGGTGAGCAACCCGGTTTCAGGCAGTCTGTCGATGTCCTTGGTAGGAACACCATCACCATGGGGTAAGTTCCCAAGACGCTTGTGTATCTTAGTATCTGTGTGTCTTTACGTGGTTTATGTGTATTCGTGTGGGTGTTCTTCGTGTGGTTTACGTGTATGTTCGTGTGGTTTGTGTATCTTTGTGTAGATTTATGTCTCTTTACGGGATTTAAGGAACTCAATATGGCCTGTGCATCCTTCTGTGGCGTATTTTATCGTGAATTTATGTATCCTTATGTATCCCCTGTGTGGTATAGATAATCATACACGTATCCCTGACAAACTCGTCTAAACCAGTGATACTTACAAGTCTTTTCCATCATTACTACTTACATATGTGTGTGTCCACGTAACCAGCCTCTCCCAAGATTGGTTTCTTCTGCTTCGGCCAGCTATTACGCAATACTTTTGCTTCAGATGCTTCCATGTTACCGATTGTATTCGCTGGGAATGTTAATTATTGAGAGAGAGAGAGGGAGAGAGAAGGAGAGGGAGGGAGGGAGGGAGGGAGGGGGGGAGGAAGGGAGGGAGGGAGGGAGGGAGGGAGGGAGGGAGGGAGGGAGGGAGGGAGAGAGAGAGAGGAGAGAGAGAGAGAGAGAGAGAGAGAGAGAGAGAGAGAGAGAGAGAGAGAGAGAGAGAGAGAGAGAGAGAGAAAGAAAGAAAGAGAGAGAAAGAGAGAGAGAAGGAGGGAGGGAGAGAAAGAGAGAGAGAATAGTAAGAATAAACTTGATAGTTGTAGTAACAATAACGGGGATGATCACGATAAAGGTAATGAAATGGCAAGAGCAACAATAATAATAATAATTAAAAAAAAACAATGGCAGTAATATTAAGAATGACAGCAATAATAATGAGGATAAATAATACCTAATTATATTATTAATTTCATCAGTGTTGGTGTTGTTGTTATTGATATTGTTATTATTATTATTTTCATTATGATCATCACCATCGTTATCATTGTCATTATTGTCATTATTATCATTAGTAGATGTAATAATAGTAATAGTAGTACATAATGATAGTCATGATGAGAATAATAATAATAATAATGGTAGTAATAATTGTAATAATAAGAAGGGGAAGAAAAAAAAAGAAAGGAGAAGTGAAAAGCAGAAGAAAATAAAGAAGTATAATTAACTAATAGAATAACATATTTATGATAATAAGAACGGTAGTAATAACATTAACCATCACCGCATCCTGTCTCAAAATCACAATTAATCGTCACCATCACGTGTCACCATCCTCATCACACCTCTCCATCCTCATCATCACCACACGTCACCACCCAAATCACCACCACTCCATCCTCATCATCACACCTCTCTATCTTCATCAACACTTCAAAATCACCACCACTCCACCCTCTTCATCACCAAATCACCACAACTCCATCCTCTTCATCACCACCACTCTATCCTCTTCATCACCAGTTCAAAATCACCACCACTCCACCCTCTTCATCACCACCTCTCTATCTTCATCACCAGTTCAAAATCACCACCACTCTATCCTCTTCATCACCAAATCAAAATCACCACCTCTCCATTACATCACCACCACTCCACCCTCATACCACTCTATCCTCATCACCACCTCTCCATCACACACTCCACCCTCTATCCTCTTCATCACCACCTCCACCCTCTTCATCACATCACCACCTCCAAATCACCACCACTCCACCCTCTTCATCACCACCAGTCATACAGGGTCGTGGTGTCAGTCGGTAGGATCGCCTGACCATCGCTTTCCTAGAATCCAAGGTAGTTTAAAACAGATAGCCTTACTCCGGCTTGATGAAAACCCTAGTTGGCACCCTACGAGGTAAACTCCGCCTCCTTGCCTTTATTCAATGCAAATATTATCGTTATTTATCTATTTTCTTCTTTTAGTTTCCGTTTATTTTACTGTCATTGTTATTACTGAAGTATTTCCAAAGAAAACTCATTTAAAAACGTAAAGTATTGCACAGATTGCCTGGGTCAGATAAAGGGGCGGAGCTAATGATGTCATGTTTAGCCAATGAGAAGGCACGGTGAGATATCAGCTATAGCTAGATACAGAATTATTTGTATAATTGACTCGATATTGTTAAAATTACCAGAAGTATAACAAAAAATTCTCTTCTTTTATTTATGATTACGAAGAGTTATATACCACGAACTGCTGGCAGAATACTCTTGGGAAAAAATAGATTTCATTTTTAAGTTCACGCTAAATAAAAGTGGAACTATCTATATAAGTAACTCTCGCCAAATCTATTTTGAATTCTGTTTCGAAAATCCACTCAATACCACACTTCTTGTATAAAATAAAACAGTTTCGGAGCCTCACTAAAGGTACTGTCACACTAGCACTTTTTCCGTCAATTTTCTTGACAATTTTCAGAAATTTTGTCAATTTTTGAGCGAATTGTCGATTTTCCAGTCAGACGATAATGATCGTTTCCGTCTGAGAACCTTTCCGTCAACTTTATCAGCCAAGCAAAGTCAAATCAAAAGCTCTATTCGAGAATGTTTGTATTCATGCTAAATAAAATTGTCAAAAAAAAAAATTGACGGAAAAAGTGCTCGAGAGCTATATTCGAGAATGTTTGTATTTATATTAAATAAAGTTGTCAAAAAAGAAAAAAAAGAAAAAAATGACGGAAAAAGTGCTAGTGTGACACGGCGTTTATGAGACTCTCGTGTCGGTCACTCGACCCGACCCGAACCTGTTCTGCTACTTCTGCATCGACGACCTTCCTTCACATGCGCTTTCGACCTCTCGACCCCGCCTCCTCGGACCGACTTTCACTTCTTCTGCTGAGTTCTTCTCTCCTCCTCTGCTTCCCTTGTTTGGTTCGGGTTGGTTTGGGGTTGTGTGTATCTGTTTCTGTTTTTTTGGTTTTCTCGTGCTCGCTTTTTTGTTTTGTTTTGTATTCTCTGTCTGTTTTTTTCTTTGGTCTATCTTTATTCCTCTATATCTCTGTCTCTGTCTCTCTCTGCCTTTCTGCATGTTTCTCTGTTCTCTCTCTCTCTCTCTCTCTCTCTCTCTCTCTCTCTCTCTCCTCTCTCTCTCTCTATATATATATATATATATATATATATATATAATATATGTATGTATATATATGTGTATGTATGTATGTGTTATATAATACATATATACACATAAATATCTATCTATCTATCTATCTCTCTCTCTCTCTTCTCTCTCTCTCTTCTCTCTCTCTCTCTATATATATATATATATATATATATATAGATAGATAGATAGATAGACACACACACACACACACACACACACACACACACCACACACACACACACACACACACACATATATATATATATATATATATATATATATATATATATATATTTAAATTATATATATATATATATATATATATATATATAATATATATATATATATATATATATATATATATATTATATATATATATATATATATATATATATATATATATATATACACACGGAAATATACATACATATGAACACAAGCACAAAACACATCACGTGAACACAAAAGATGAAAATGAAAACTAGCCACAATGAGAATAGAAAATAAGCGTTCTCTATTCTCACTGTGGCTAGTTTCATTTTCATACATACATATACATACAACATATATATTATATATATATAATAAGTATATAATATATATTACCTATATAGATTCAAATTGATATAACATAATATATATAATATATATGAGAGATTATTATGACGTATTATACCTTATTATATAGATATATAGATTGGAGTTTATCGATGTGAATTAGGTAATCGACATATATGTATGACTTAACTGAGCTACGCGATGATTAAGATTATACTATATACTGACATAATGTATAAACGTACTGCTTCATTACAATAAAATCGTAGAAATATAATCGAACCTATTATACTATTCAGTACACCAGACCGCAACACACCCACACATCCTCACCAGTATACAGTTACAGTACCATCCGATACAACCAACGCTTCAAGCAGACAACTCCTAGGCATCGCGACAAACCGCATAACGGCACCTACGAGAAACCACACACCATCGACCTTGATCGACGCAGTCCGTGACACCACACGCACACACACAAAACAGCCAACAGCACATTAATAAATTGCAACGGATCGAGGGCTCAATCCAATGAGTCGTAGCTATAACTATAGGTATCTGATGATGTCAATGATATGGTATGATAGGTTAGCCTGAGTTATATATTCAGGAGTTCAGTTCTCAATGACGTACATGTTATTCATGTATATTGAGATATGCGAAGAGTGTAGATACATGATATGCTGAAGGAACGAAAGCTCGTAGTGCAAGTACTATAATATAATCGGCAGTACGACAGACGCCACACACACCAAGCTGAGCCACCCTCGATCGAAGCGCTTGATGCTACAGCATCTCGATCAAGAAAGGTGTCGGGAAACACCATCGGAAAATGCCTTATTCACTCACATCTGACCTTGATCACAAAATGACAGCGCAATAGTACACTACGCGTGCGTAAGATAAGCGAACAGAGAGCAAAGGAAGAGGAGATTGAGGAGAGGATACTAGAATTAGCAGTGTATGAGGTTAACGAATAGAACACAGTGAGAGAAGGAGATCTGACTTTTCAGAGCGATATTTGGCACAGATAAGGTGACTGACAGGAGGTATCTCCTAAAGTTGCTCATGAAAGCGGAGGTGGAAAGTGAATGGGTCTGAAGCACAGGATACTTGCCACCTCGCTTAGTCCCCATCCATGTGCTCCCCTCTCTGCCTCCCACCTCCTAGACCTCCCTGCACTCATCACGCCGTGTCATCTTACTCTCCCTCCTGTCCTGTCACCCGGCTCCCTGCACTCCACGAACTTTTTTTGCAGCGTCAGTTTATCATTTTGTAAACGAAGCGACATTGTCTATTATGAGTATTTCGAACTACCTAGCATTGGGCCACGAGACGTGATCGAAGCGACGCCGCGCCAACCCGACGCTAGTTCAGTAAAACGAAC